ATCCACTTGTGGTATTTCTGTTATGTTAGCACTAGATAACATAGAATTTGGTACCAAGAAGTGGGAATGCTACTCTAACAGATACCTAAAATGTGGAAGTAGTTTTGGAATTGGATAATGAGTAGAGACTTGTTGTTGTTGTTGTTAAGTGCCGTCGAGTTGTTTCCAACTCATAGTGACCCCATGCACAGCAGAACGAAACACTGCCCGATCCTGCGCCAGCCCCACAATCCCTGCTATACTTGAGCCCATCATCACAGCCACCATGTCAATCCATCTCATTGAAGGCCTCCCCCTCTTTCATCAACCCTCCACCCTACCAAGCATGACATCCTTCTCCAGGGAATGGTCCCTTCTTACAACATGACCAAAATAGGTGAGACGAAGTCTGGCCATTATTGCTTCCAAGGAGCATTCTGGCTGCACTTCCTCCAGGACAGGTCTGTTAGTTCTTTTAGCAGTCTGTGGTACTTTCAGCATTCTCCGCCAGCACCACAACTCAAAAGCATCAACTCTTCTTTGGTCTTCCTTATTCATTGTCCAGCTCTCACATGCATATGAGGCAATTGGAAATATCATGGCTTGTGTCAGGCACACCTTAGTCCTCAAGGAGATATCCTTGCTCTTCAGCACTTGATACAGTTCCTTTGCAGTTGACTTTCCCAATGCTACACGTCATCTAATGTTCTGACTGCTGCTTCTGTTGGCATCGATTGTAGAACCCAGCAACGTGAATTCCTTGACAACCTCAATCTTCTCTCCATTTATTGTGATGCTGCTCATTAGTCCAGTTGTGAGGATTTTTGTTTTCTTTATATTGAGACGTAATCCATACTGCAGACTGTATTCTTCAACCTTCATCAGTAGGTGCCTTAAGTCATCCTCACTTTCAGCAAGCAAAGTTGTATCGTCTACATATCTCAGGTTGTTAATGATTCTTCCTCCAATCCTGAGACCACGTTTTTCTTCATATAGTCCAGCTTCTCGGATTATTTGCTCAGCATATAGATTGAATAAGTGTGGAGAAAGAATACAACCCTGACGCACTCCCTTCTTGATTTTAAACCATGCAGTGTCCCCTTGTTCCATTTGAACAACAGCCTCCTGGTCAAGGTACAGATTCCTCATGAGTACAATCAAGTGCTCGGGAATTCCCATTCTTCTCAATGTTATCCATAATTTGTCATGATACACACAATCAAATGCCTTTGCATAGTCAATAAAACACAAGTAAACATCTTTCTGGTATTCTTTGCCTTGAGCCAAGATCCATCTGACAACAGCTATGATATCCCTTCTTCCACGTCCTCTTCTGAATCCGGCTTGAACCTCTGGAAGTTCTCTGTCCATATACTGCTGCAAACGTTTCTGAATTATCTTCAGTAAGATCTTATTTGCGTGTGATATTAATGATACTGTTCTATAATTTCCACATTCTGTGGTATCACCTTTCGATGAGTCAGATCCGGCTCAATGGCAGTGAGACTGGAAGAGTTTTAAAGTACCTAATAATAAAAGCCTAGATTGCCTTGAAAAGACTGTCGGTAGAATTATGGATATCAAAAGCAATTCTGGCTAGAGTTAAGAAGAAATTAAGGAGAGCTGCATACATAATCTCTTTCATCTTAGAGAATCCATCTGGTGCCAGCAACAGAATGCTGCTGGAAATGTGGATGTTAAATGTGCTTCTGGAGAGGCTTTAAAAGAAAATGATGGACATGTGATTGGACAATGAAAGGGTGATGCTTTTGATGCAGTGGCAAAGAACTTGTCTGGATTATGCTCAGATGTTCTGTGGAAGGTTGTACTTCTAAGTGATGAACTTCAGTACTTGGCTGAGGAGATTTCCAGGCAGAAAGATCTTAAAGGGGCCACATGGTTTCTCCTTGCTGCTTATAGTAAAATGTAAGAAGAAAGAGATGGACTTAAATGAACTGTTCAAAATGAAAACAAAACTTAAAAGATTTGGAAAATTCTGTTGTTCAAACTAGGAACACATGTCCTAGAATGTTCATCAAGGACATGGCCACACAGTCTTTGTTAAAAGATTAAGCCTGTGACTGATGGATCTAACCAACTACCACAGCAGAATACCCATCAGCTTAGACTGATGGGGACAGAGATAGAACAAAAGGAGAAAACACTGTCTGCTTCTTGGAATTCTACATACAGGGATCAGACCAAAGGAGTGAAATCTGTTGTCCTCCAAGAAAATAAAAGAACTATCCCTAGAGTAGCTTGGAGTTCAGCAGAACTTTAGAAGGAGCATGGGAAGCAGAGCTGCTTTGGTCTCAAAGGGTAGGGCCATGGCTTTTGAGGTGTCAAAGAATTGAGCCATGGCTTCCTAGGTTTCAGAGGGTCAGATCTTCACCAACTCAGTTCTGGAGGAGGGGCTGCCATTCATTTTGGCCAAGAGGATGGACCACTGCCTAAAGCTGAGAGCATGGGGTGCTATGCCCAAGGGGCAGAAGACTGGAGCCTGCTGGGGCCAAGGGAGTTCACCATTCAGATAGGCTAAGAGAATGGGGTTGTCCAAAGCCAAGAGACCAGAGTTACCATCTCAATGGGCCTGGAAGGCAGAGATTAGACTGAAGGGGACAGAGAAGAAATGAAAGAACACAGTTTGCCTTGTGGAATCCTACAGGCAAGAAACAGGCCAAAAGAGCTAAATTTGTTCTCCTCCAAGAAAAGAAAAAAGCATCCCTGGAGCAGTTTGGAAATCAGCAGAAGTGTTAGAAGGAGCATGGGAAGAAGGGTCTTATTGATTTCAATGGGTGGGGCCACAGTCTCCTAGATTTCAAAGAGTCAGATCGTCCCAACTTGGTTCTATAGTGTGGGGCTGCTGTTAAGGTGTGCCAGGGGTGTGGGGCCACCACCCAAAGCTGAGGGGCTGGGTTGACATGCCCAAAGGACAGAAGAAGGGGCCTCCTGAGGCGGTGAGTTTGCCACTCAGATGGACTAGGAGAATGGGGCTGCCTAAGCCAAGGAGGCAGAGGTGCCATCCTCCTTAATTATTTAGTACTGCTATACCACAAATGGAGCTCTGGTAGCGTAGTGCCCAAGGCATTTGACTGGTAACCAGAAGTTTGGCAGTTCAAACCTACCAGCTACTCCTCGGAAGGAAGATTGGGCAATCTACTTCTGTGGTGATACCACCTCAGAAACCCAAGGAGGGATCACTATATGAGTCAGATCCAACTTGACGGCAGTGCATTATCACTACAAAAGTAGATTGTATAGTCTTCCTTCTGAAGAGTGGCTTGGTGGGTTTGAACCACAGTCTTCTGGTTAGCAGTCAAATAAATGCCTTACACAATCTGAATCCAGAATGATGGCTCTAAGGCTTTCTCCCTCTGTGGGCCCTAGGGCAATGTCCTTGTGTCTTCAGCTTGTTTCCTGGTTCCTTTGGGATCTCCATGTGACTTGGCATCAATCTTTCCCCATCTCTGCCTCTTTTGCTTGTTTTAATCTCATTTATATCTCAAAGTAAATTGATTTAAAACACACCCTACACTAAACCTGTCTTATTAACATAACAAAGACAACCCATTCCCGAATGGGATTATAATCACAGGCATCTCACTGCCATGGAGTCAGATCTGACTCATAGTGACCCCTCCTTGGGTTTCTGCAGCGGGTTTCTGAGGCGGTATCGCTACGGAAGTAGATTGCCCAGCCTTCCTTCCGAGGAGCAGCTGGTGGGTTTGAACCGCCAGCCTTCTAGTTAGCAGTCAGATGCCTTAGGCACTATGCCACCAGAGTGCCTATCACAGGCATAGAGGTTAGGAATTACAGCATATATTTTGGGAGGACATAATTCAATCCAGAACAATGAGCATCTTTGTGACCTGCACTGTGATAGGTGTCAGAGATAAAGGACAAACAAGACTCAGAGGCTTCTACCCTATTTAGGGTTACCATCTGTAACCTATAAATTATAAATTAGTGAACTATACACAGTTCAAACCCACCAGCCACTCCTCGGAAAGAAGATTGGGCAATTGACATCCGTAGTGATACTGCCTTGGAAACCCAATGAGAGGTCACTGTAAGTCAGGTCTGACTCGGCAAATAACAACAACATACGTATAAATTAAAACTAAAGTGGAAAATCACGCTCATATGAAAATAATCCACTTAGCTCAGTGCTTCTCAAAATTTTCTACCAAAGTATTGCTAATGATCAGGGAGAATAAATGCCTTACACCACTGAGGAGTTTAAGCAAGCATCTTGAAGGAGGCCTCCACAATCTAGAAGCTTGTTTGAGGTTATATTTTTACTCAACAATTTCCACACATTGCATTTTTCTCTATAACCTAATCTATATCTTAATTTAAAAATGTCTTTAATAACCATATTTGTTAACACTAAAATTGAAACTCCAAGATGCTTTGCATACCCAGCAGAACAAATACCTTATAACTGCACCAGTACATACACCCTGGTTTAATAGCTAAGGCTTATAACATTACCCTATATTTAAAGTTTCTTACCATCAGGAGAGATTCTTTAAAACAAATTTTATGAATATGGGAAGTTTTCTCTATGAAGGATAGACATTCAGATTTATAAAGTCTTACAAGAGAGTTTGCTTACTTTTGTCTCCTCTAACACTAATTTCTCCTGTGACAGTTGAATAGAGTGAGATACAGAATATAGACGTTAATGAAAAAGGATAAGAAAAAAGTTTGCAAGATTAGGATATAATTATTTTTGGTATTTGAGAACTATTTTAAGTTACAGATTTTGACAGAAATATACACATATGCTGAGAAGACTCCTTGATTGGTTACCACTTACAGCTCAGACTAAGTTTTTACCAGTGTTTATAACATTCATGTAGGTTTTGAACTTAAAATTATTATCCTGAGTAAAATTGTATCAAGCATATATATGATGTGCCATTTTTAAATTGATACTGCTTGCTTTAGGAAAATGCATTCTTAGAAAAATTATATGTAATGATTCAGTGAACATAATTTTTTATTTGTTTGTTTAGGAGAGAAGCCATATGAATGCCCAAACTGCAAGAAACGTTTTTCCCATTCTGGTTCCTATAGCTCTCACATAAGCAGTAAAAAATGTATCAGCTTGATGCCTGTGAATGGACGACCAAGAACAGGACTCAAGACGTCTCAGTGTTCCTCACCATCTCTGTCAGCATCTCCAGGCAGTCCCACACGACCACAGATACGGCAAAAGATGGAAAATAAACCCCTTCAAGAACAACTTTCTGTAAACCAAATTAAAACTGAACCTGTGGATTATGAATTCAAGCCCATAGTGGTTGCTTCAGGAATCAACTGTTCAACCCCTTTACAAAATGGGGTTTTTAGTGGTGGTGGCCCATTACAGGCAACCAGTTCTCCTCAGGGTGTGGTGCAAGCTGTTGTTCTGCCAACAGTTGGTTTGGTATCTCCCATAAGTATCAACTTAAGTGATATTCAGAATGTACTAAAAGTGGCAGTAGATGGTAATGTAATAAGGCAAGTTTTGGAAAATAATCAAGCCAATCTTGCATCCAAAGAACAAGAAACAATCAGTGCTTCATCCATACAACAAGGTGGCCATTCTGTTATTTCAGCTATCAGTCTTCCTTTGGTTGATCAAGATGGAACAACCAAAATTATCATCAACTATAGCCTCGAGCAGCCTAGCCAACTTCAAGTTGTTCCTCAAAATTTAAAAAAAGAAAATCCAGTCCCCACAAACAGTTGCAAAAGTGAAAAATTACCAGAAGATCTTACTGTTAAATCTGAGAAAGACAAAAGCTTTGAAGGGGGAGTGAATGATAGCACTTGCCTTCTGTGTGATGACTGCCCAGGAGATCTTAATGCACTTCCAGAATTAAAGCACTATGACCTACAGCAGCCTGCTCAGCCTCCTCAGCTCCCTGCACCGGAAGCTGAGAAGCCGGAGTCCTCTGTTTCATCAGGTACTGGAGATGGCAATTTGTCTCCCAGTCAGCCACCTTTAAAGAACCTCTTGTCTCTTCTAAAAGCTTATTATGCTTTGAATGCACAACCAAGTGCAGAAGAGCTCTCAAAAATTGCTGATTCAGTAAACCTGCCACTGGATGTAGTGAAAAAGTGGTTTGAAAAGATGCAAGCTGGACAGATTTCAGTGCAGTCTTCTGAACCATCTTCTCCTGAACCAGGCAAAGTTAATATCCCTGTAAAGAACAATGATCAGCCTCAATCTACAAATGCAAAGGAACCCCAAGACAGCACAATAAATCCACAAAGCCCTCAGAAGATGACTAAATCTCCAGTTTTATCAGTGGGATCAGCTGTCAATGGTTCCAGAAGTAGAACACCGTCCCCATCACCACTAAACCTTTCCTCATCCAGAAATACACAGGGTTACTTGTACATAGCAGAGGGTGCACAAGAAGAACCGCAAGTAGAACCTCTTGATCTTTCACTACCAAAGCAACAGGGAGAATTATTGGAAAGGTCATCTATCACTAGTGTTTACCAGAACAGTGTTTATTCTGTCCAGGAAGAACCCTTGAACTTGTCTTGTGCAAAAAAGGAGCCACAGAAGGACAGTTGTGTTACAAACTCAGAACCAGTTGTAAATGTAATCCCACCAAGTGCCAATCCCATAAATATTGCTATACCTACAGTCACTGCCCAGTTACCCACAATTGTGGCCATTGCTGACCAGAACAGCGTTCCATGCTTGCGAGCACTAGCTGCCAATAAGCAAACTATTCTAATTCCCCAGGTGGCTTACACATACTCAACTACCGTCAGTCCTGCAGTTCAGGAACCACCCTTGAAAGTGATTCAGCCAAATGGAAATCAGGTAAAACCTTCATCCCAAACTTGTTTGATCAAGTGTTACTTTGACTTGTTTCAGTTAATATTTTCTAATAAAAATCAGTCACTGTAGAGACAAGTAAGTTACTATTAATTGTTGTTATTAAAAGGAAACACCAGTGTTGGCTTTTTTTGTGTGGCATGATGTCTTCAGTGTTTATTAATCCAAGGAATAGTTATCAACTAAAGTTTAAAGTGGTGTTCTACTGTGAAAATGATTTATAAGCCTCAAAGGCCTGATTATGTGAAACTGGGACAGAAAAAGAAAATGGAAAATCGACTAATTTAGATTTATGTTTCTATAGTTACATTCCTGAAATTATTAGTTTCTGCCTTGAGTATAATAATTAATAAAGGGAAATATGTTCCTGTTTACAAATATTCACACCAGTAGACTTAGATTTTACTTTTTTATGTATTAACACCTCTATTTATAGAAAACTAGAAACAACCAAACTCACTGCCGTCGAGTCAATTCTGATTCATAGCTACCCCTCCTTGGGTTTCCAAGGCGTTATTCTCTACGGAAGTAGATTGCCCAGTCTTCCTTCTGAGGGGTGACTGGTGGGTTTGAACCACCAGCCTTCTGGTTAGCAGTCAAATGCCTTAGGCACTATGCCAGCAGACAGACAACAAGTATACAAAGAACTCATCTAGTGAACTTACCAATCATTTCATGAGCTGTAAACGTTAAGCAGGCTTAGTGCTTATGAGAAAATATGGCTGTGAATATTTTCTCTCTAACTTTCCTTAAAAACCCATGATGTTTAGCTCAGATAGTTTTCAGTAGAGCTTTTTTGTGTGACTGTTGTGTCAATTCTCAAATAAGCCCCAACTCAGACTTCTTCCAGAAGTCTTTTTTTTCCATCAATTTCTGATTGAGTCAAATGAATCCTAAAGATAAATATCTCTTATTGAAGTATTTTCTATAAATAGATGAAGCTAAAATAATTACAGTGTTGGGCTCAAATGTGTATTTGCTGTTTTTTTTCCTTAAATATAGCTACTGATTGGTTTCCTCGAATTGTGATTTCTCTTCACGGTGGTTTTACATAATCAGTGAATTCTTCTAAATTTTTCATATATAAAATGTTGTGCCCACCTTTGAGTAGTAAAAGACCCACCACTAACATTTCATCTAATCATTTGAGTAGTTCACTTAACAGGGCACCTCAGGTTACTTTAACACCGTTGGCAGCTCACAAGTGACCACCCCTGTCATCCCTTACAAAGCCATCAACAAGATTGTGAAAACCTTTGTGGGTTTAGAGGCAACAAAATAGAAGACTCTTGAAAAGACTCAAGTGTCTTAGATGATCCAATTCTGCTGCAGAGTCCCTGTAGGATTATTCTACCTACAAGGGAACATTCTTGCCCAAAACTATATCCGTAAGACTGCTTGAAATTTTTTATTCCACTGAAATTCTCAAGATTCATTTAGGCTAGTGTTTCACCTAAAACTTTTTTTTCATCTTGTATCTTAGAAAAATAGTAGAAGAAACTTCTGTTTTTGTCTTGGTTAAGAAGCCCATGGAAATTAATTCATAGAACTCTGAAGCTCAGCATAACACAATTTAAAGATCCCTTAAGATTTTTGCATTGTAAAACCCAAAATGAAAGTAAATGATGTAGTTAGAAATTAGTGATCATTAAACAAACTCATAGGTTAAAACATTCTGCAGATTTCTCGTATGGAACCAAGTGCAATTTGTTACTATCCTCATTTTTTTTCTTTTTGGTATCTATTCTTTTTGATAGCATGTGTTATTGCTACAGTGTTGACAATATTTTCCCAACCTGACTTTTGTCTATTATCAACCCCCATCCTTGGAGTGTATCTGCCTTGATGAGCAGTATGCTTTCTTTGGCAAAGTTGTTGAAAGTATAAATCAAAGTATGTCTTTAACCTGCCTTGTATTTATATCTTATGTTTTTCAATATTAAATGAAATTTCCTTATTCTTTTTTCCTTTAGGATGAAAGGCAAGACACTAGCTCAGAAGGAGTATCAAATGTGGAGGATCAGAATGACTCTGATTCTACACCACCCAAAAAGAAAATGCGGAAGACAGAAAATGGAATGTATGCTTGCGATTTGTGTGATAAGATATTCCAAAAGAGTAGCTCATTACTAAGACATAAGTATGAACACACAGGTATGTTGATGAGCTCAAACATACTGTCCTTTTTTGATATGATATGCTGAAAGAAATTCTAAATTAAAAGCAAAAGTTCTTATATCAGACTTAAAACTGTTTGCTTTCCACTTCTTTGATCTTGACACTTTGATCTATCTTCCCACTTCTACTTAGTATTTCAAGTCCCTTTTTTTGTTTTTGGATTTTTTGTTTTTTGATGTTGTTTCATTTTATTTTTCCTTTAATGATTTAATTCCTTTAAGCTAGCACACCAGTTATTCTGTCTACCCTTTCTATACTTTTTAGGGTTTAGTTATGTGTCATAATAGTAAAGGAATAAATAAAAAAGGCTAATACTGGCTTATGCCATATTAATAAAAATGTAGTACCCAAAATAGAGGACCACTCTGGTGGCATAGTGCCTAAGGCACTTGACTGCTAAGCCAGATGTTAGGCGGTTCAAACCAACCAGCCACTCCTTGGAAGGAAGGTTGGGCAATCTACTTCCATAGAGATACCGCCTTGGAAACCCAAGGAGGGATCACAATGAGTCAGAGTCGACTTGATGGTACATAACAGCAACATCTGGAGTTACAGAGAGACAAGATCTGGCTTATTAAAAGAGCAAGCTGCCTAATAATAAATAATAATGCAGATTGCTGTTCTCATGAGTCATAGTTTCCTTGTCCCTTGAAAGTTGCAGACAGATCTTTTGTGGTATATAGAAGTTCTGCCTCAGAAATTGAACTAGATCCCACCCAACACTGAGAGTGTTAATTTTTGCACAAAATACAGATTCCTTAGGCTAATTCAGGGATCAGAAAACTATGGCCTGCAGGCTAAATGTGATTCTTCATCTGTTTTTCTTTGACTTGTGAGCTAAGAATGGTTTCTGCATTTTTAAATGATTGGGAAAAAAGGAAGAAGAAAAATATTTATCACCATGAAAATTATACAAAAGTAAAACTTTAGTGTTGATAAACTTTTATCAAAACACAGTCACACCTATTGATTTGTGTATTGTCATTGGCTGCTTTCATGCTGCAACAGAATTCAGTAGTTGTGACACAGACCATATGCCTCACAAAGCCGAAAATATTTACTATCTGGTCCTCTACAGAACACATTGCTGACTCCTAGTCTAACTGATTACATCCACTGATGAGCTGGTAAATTTTAACAACTTGCTCTCTGGAGGGTGAGGGAAGCCCTGATTTGAAGTGTCTGCAGATTCCATTGGTGTAACTACTCCCATCATGGCAATTGCACTCCCATCATGGCGATTGCATGCATGCAGGGTGATATCAATCAATGGCTTGCAGAATTCCTGAAAAATGTAGCACTGGACTCCCTCAAGGCAGGAAAAACTGGTTCCAGCACAACTGTTTCTATCCAGCGTGGGTTTCTGTGCAAGGGGTTGGGCTTATTATAAGCTCTTTAGCCCCCACCCTCAGCCATTTTGGCTACAATGTCCCTGTTTATTTTTCATATTCTTATCAACTGTTTGGAATCTCTGATGGTGTAGTGCCTAAGGCATTTGACTGCTAACCAGAAGGCTGGTGGTTCAAACCCACTAGCCACTCCTAGGAAGGAAGACTGGGCAATCTACTTCCTTAGTGCTATTGCCTCAGAAACCCAAGGAGGGGTCACTATGAGTGGGATCCGACTCGACGAGTTTGGTTTGGTTTGGTTTGATCAACTGTTTTAATTCATTTCATACTCTGAGAAAGGACAGAAAACTATCTGATCTATAGATAATACACATGCAATGACATTTGGGTGGTTCTTGGAGTTAAAACTTGTATTGGATAAGAGAAAGTCACTACTCTCAAAAGAACCCCCTGTGGCACATTCTTCTGGTTATTTCATAGCTATGTTCTTATTTTGCAGGTAAAAGACCTCATGAGTGTGGAATCTGTAAAAAGGCATTTAAACATAAACATCATTTGATTGAACATATGAGATTACATTCTGGAGAAAAGCCCTATCAATGTGACAAATGTGGAAAGCGTTTCTCACACTCTGGGTCTTATTCTCAACACATGAATCATCGCTACTCTTACTGCAAGAGAGAAGCAGAGGAACGTGATGGCACAGAGCAGGAAGAGACAGGACCAGAGGTCCTCACGAATGAGCATGTTGGTGCTAGGGCATCTCCCTCTCAGGTCGACTCGGATGAGAGAGAGAGTTTGACAAGAGAAGAGGATGAAGACAGTGAAAAAGAAGAAGATGAGGAGGAAGATAAAGAGATGGAAGAACTGCAAGAAGAAAAAGAATGTGAAAAACCACAGGGGGACGAGGAAGAAGAGGAGGAGGAAGAGGTAGAGGAAGAAGAAGTAGAAGAGGCAGAGAATGAGGGTGAAGGAGCAAAACTGGAAGGTCCAATGAAGGATGATAGAGCTGTAAATCGACCAAGCAGCATAGAACAAAAAGTCGAGAATAGTGAGCGAGTGTCTGAAGAAAAAACAAATGAAGCCTAATACTTTTTCTAGAAGGAAAATAAATTCTAATTGGTAATGACGTTTGTTCTATATAATACATGCTTTTCATGGAAACACAGTAACCTGTATACTGTGATTTCCGTTCACTACTGTGTAAAGTAAAAATAAAAAATGCAAAATACAAAAAAAAAAAAAAAATACACAAAAAAAGAAATCCGGGTGTGCCTGAACCTCAGACCTAGTAATTTTTCATGCAGTTTTCAAAGTTAGGAACAAGTTTGTAACATGAAGCAGATTAGAAAACTTTAGTGACTCAGTAAGCAAAGATGCAACAGGAAACTGATTAATTAGATAAGCATCTGGCATTGTTTCATTTTATCAGTATTAAATATCACTTTTTTGTTGGTTTATTCTTGAGCTGTACAATTGGGAGAAATTTTATAATTTTTTATTGGTAAACATATGCTAAATCCGCTTCAGTATTTTATTATGTTTTTTAAAATGTGAGAATTTCTGCACTACAAAATTCCCTTCACAGAGAAGTATAATGCAGTTCCAAACCGTGCTAACTACCTTTTATAAATTCATTCTAGAAGGTAGTAATTTCGAATATATAGATGTCATAGTAGAGCATATTATCATTTAAAGTGTATTGTTAGCCTTAAGAAAGCAGCAGATAGAAGACTGAAGTTTCTTCCTCATGTGGTTTAAAATGTAGTTCAAAAGATTGTCATTGAGTTCTGATTGCAGGGACTAACAGTGTTAATACTGGTAAGGACAGCGACGTCGTCAGAATCAGTGTTTGTAATTGTGTTTGAGTATGTGGTAATAATTATGAAGGATATGATATGAAGCTTTCTATCTCCTTTGGCCTTAAGCAAGACCTGTGTGCTGTAAGTGCCATTTATCAGTATTTTCAAGGCTCTAACCCACCTTCTGGAGTCCTGGTGGTATGTACAATGGTTAATACGCTCAACTGCAAACCAAAAGGTTGGCAGTTTGAACCCACCAGCCACTCCACAGGAGAAAGATGTGGCAGTCTGCTTCTGTAAAGATTACAGCCTTGGAAACCTTATGGGGCAGGTTCTACTCCATCTTATAGGGTTGCTATGAGTTGGAATGATTCCACAGTAGTGAGTTTGGGGTTAGGAACCCGCCTTTGTTCAATGTGTGGCCTACAATAACTAGCATTTGTTGATTTGTTTGTTATATCAAAATTCTAAAACTAAAGTTAAAACCACTGACTCTGTCAGAGAAACCGAAACACTGGGACATTTCATCCTTTAATTCTTAAGTATTCATTTTGTGTTAATTGACTTTCAGAATTTCTCTACAGAAATGAAAGGGAAAATTTCTAATCTGCTTTATCCATGTACTTGCATTTCAGACATGGACATGTCATTGTTATTTGGCTCATAACTGTTTCCAAATGTTAGTTATTATGGACCCAATTTATTAACAACATTAGCTGATTTTTACCTATCAGTATTATTTTATTTCTTTTAGTTTATAGAGCTGTGCAACATTTTTGTACTGTATGTCTTCAAACCTGGCAGTATTAATACCCTTCTTACTGACATATGTACTTTTAGTTTTAGAAAACTTTTATATTTATGTGTCTTATTTTTATATTTCTTTATTTATTACACAGTGTAGTGTATAATACTGTAGTTTGTATTAATACAATAATATATTTTAGTATGAAAATTTGGAAAGTTGATAAGATTTAAAGTAGAGATGCAATTGGTTTTCTTGCATTGAGATTTGATTTAACAGTGTTATGTTAACATTTATACTTGCCTTGGACTGTAGAACAGAATTTAAATGGGAATGTATTAGTTTTACAACTACAATCAAGTCATTTTACCTTTACCCAGTTTTTAATATAAAACTCTTAAATTTTGAAATTCACTGTGTGACTAATAGCATGATGCTCTGCAGTTTTATTAAGAGATTAGTCTAACCATAAAACTCTCATTTCCTTAGTAAGCCAAATTAGGGTAACCATATGTAAACAGTGTTGGGAACAATGTTTAACATTTTTTTTGTGCCAATTTGTTCCTGTATTCATGTATGTAAGTTACAAATCTGACTCTTCATTTTTAAGTTCCTTGTTAAACCATGGTCATTTTCTAGTTTTTTACCAGACTCCCCCATCTCACAATAAAATGCATCAACAAGCCTGACCTGCTGTCATTCTTTTAATCATTATCAAGACTTTCTTTGGAATATTCTCTGAAAGTGGGCATTGCACTGTCACTCTGTACTCTATTCATCTTTGGCTGAGTTTGGAAAACAAACTAAGTGTGTTAGATGTTCACCAAGAGCACAAAATTAAGGATTCTCTTGTGACTAAATCTTTCTAGGAAGGTAAGGCCTCCTCAGAGATTGTTCACTCTTTCTGAAACCTTTAACCCCTATGCCTGATCCCATGACTTCTCATCCTTCAGGTCACTTCAGGGAAGCCTGGGTTTCGATGCCTTTCCTCTGTTCTCCCACAGTACACTGGACCTTTCTCATTATAGCTCTTATGCTGTCATTTATATTCCTCTCACACAAGGGACAGGGACCATGTCTGTCATAGTCACTCTTTTCTGCCCAATCCCCAATGCTAGCAGAGTGCCTGGTACAAGTATGTTCAAATATGTGTTGAATTAAAAAAATAATTTGCATGTTAACAGAGCTCAACTATGTTTTCTCTACTATGTTTGCTTCTAATCCCTGATTATATATGTTAAATGATTCCAGTAAGTTAATTTTCTTATTCAGGTCCTATTATTAAGTAGGTATAATAGACACATAATAAACTATATCTTCTTTTTGTATTGTCTAACTGTTCTGATTTATTGAGAGTTTATTTCTAGGTTATTCCTTGGTGCTTAACCTTGTGGCACATGGCACAGGCATTCAAGGCCTGTGGCTATAACTTCCCCAGTGGGAGTGATAGAGCCAATACAAGTTGCATAGAAGGCTCTATTTTAGGACCCATCTCCTTCTAAGATTCTACATTCCTAGGCACTCATCTGGATAAATGGCCAATAAAGTAATTCGGGCATTATCAGAGCAGAAACATTTTGAAAATGAAAATATGTGTGGACCCTTCCAAATATCCCTCAAGAATGGCAGTAATAATAATAGCATCGTGTTATTTACTTATGCCATGGACAAATGCTTCACTACCACTGTCAAAATAATTTGCACAGAAACCTTAAAAAGTACAAATAAAGACCATGTGCCCATGGACACAAACATACTAATCAGCAGAATAGGTCTATCTGACTCCAAAAATCCGTGCTCTTAACTACCCTATAGCATATCTCATGTAAGAATAACCTACACTGTCTAAATTTTAACTCAAAGCGGCCTTAAAGGGGATCATTCATTAATATCAAACCAACATTCACTGTCTAGGATGGGGGAAAGAAAAGTGAGTATGAGATTTTTCAAAACCTGTCTGCAAAGTTAAGATAGCCTTAAAAAGGGTACTGTTTGAAATACAATGATTAAGTTAAAATGAAAACTTAAGCTTACAACAGACATCATCTCTTAAGATGGTTGAAATAGCATATTAAAATATGCACTTGTGAGCCTACAAAAAGAAGCTTCTGTGCTTTGGTGGACAAAAACATACTCTATCCAACAGCAGATTTTTTTTTTTTCCCAAGTGCACCTGGGACAGATAGACCATATTCTGAACCATAATACGTCTCAAATTTAGAAGAATTGGAAATGTGTTTTCTCTGACTATAAGAGAAACTAGAAATCAATAACGGATACATCTAGAAAATGCCTCAAATTATTGATTAGATGACACTCATGTCAAAAATAATCACAAAGAAAATTATAAACTGTGATGAGCTCAATGAAAATACAACATATCAAAACTTGTATGTATGTAGTTAAAGCAGTGCATATAAGAAAATTTATTGTGTTAAATACTTACATTACAGCAAAATTGAGAACTCACATAAGTCATCTGAGATTTCACCTTAAGAAACTAGATAAAGAACAAAATTAAGCCTAAAGCAAGCAGGACAATGGGAAAAAAAAAAAAAAAAAGCAATGACTGGGAAAAAAGAATGACAATAGAGAAAAATCAATGAAATCAAAATCTAACTGAAAAGATTAATAAAATGATGAACCTCTAGTTAGAGCAGGAAGGAAAAGAAGGAGCTACAAATTACCACTGTCAAAAGTTAGAGAGGAAATCATTACAGATAGTGAAAGGATAATAATAAAATGCTATGAACAACTTCATGCTAATTAATTTGACAGAAGAAAATGGTCACATTTTTTTTAAAAACTCAAACTACCAAAATGTATTCAAGAAGAAATAGATAACCTGAATAGTTATGTATCAAATGTGTAGTTAAAAATCTTCCCACTAAGAAAATTCTAGGCCCAGATATCTTCACTGGTGAATTCATCAAACATTTAAGGAGGAGATTATACCAATTCTACAAAAGCTTGTCCAGAAAATAGAAAAGAATGAAATATTCCCACCCGAGTCTGTAAGGCCAACGTTGCCCACGTACCAAAATCAGAAAATTACAAGAAATGAAAACTACACACCAAGTTCTGGAGATAACATGCAAATATATTGGCCAAACATTAGCAGATAAATTGGAACAATACATCAAAAGGAAAATCGATCCTGATCAAGTGGGATTCCAAGGCCCCAGGTGGTACAAACCATTAATGCTGAAGGTTTGAGTTCACCTAGAGGAACTCAGAAAAATGTCCTGATGATCTACTTCTGAAAAATCAGCCATTGAAAACCCTATGGAGCACTATTCTATTCTGACACACACAGAGGTGCGTAAGTTGTAATCAACTCAATAACAACTGGTTGGTTGGTTTTTTGTTTCATTTTGTTTTAAGCAGGATTCATCACAGGAATAACGCAAGATTGGTTAAGGACTAATTGAAAAATCAGTTAATGGTTTTTTCCTAAGTCTCTTCCAGTCACACTTGTAAGAGCTTGGAAGTTGTCACTCCCATCCTCACAGTGAACAGACTGAAAATCAATACCCCACTTAGAACCATCCCAGAATAGAGATCACAGGGCAAAAAGCTGCCCCCAAAACAGAAGAGAAAAGAAGATATAGAAAATACAGCTTCCTAGGAGCAAAAGTGCAGGCTGGCGGTTCAAACCTACCGGCCACTCCTCAGAAGATGGGGCAATCTACTTCCATAGTGATACTGCCTCGGAAACCCAAAGAGGGGTCGCTATGAGTTGGGTCCGACTCAACGGCACATAACAACAACAACAACAGGAGCAAAAGCCCAGGGGCTGAAGCCAACAACTGGAGTCAGTCTGTATCCAGCAAAAGTATCATTCAAATGCTAAGGAGAAATAAAGACTTTCTCAGACAAATAAAAATTGAAGAACTTGTCACCAATAGACCTGTGCCTTGTAACAAATTAATTTCTTCAGCCAGAAGGAAAATGATACAGATCAGAAACTTAGATTTAAAAAAAAAGTATTAGAGAAGGAATGAATGCTTTTTCTTATTAATTGATCTAATAACAGTGTGTTCAAAATAACAGCAACAAT